TGCTGCAAGAACACAAAGAAGGGGTTGAGTGAACCAACCGGGCAAACCCACGCGACAGAGGCGTTCGCAAGCAGCAGCGCCGGTTGTGAAACTCCAGCTCAAGAAACAAGAGTGGAATTTCCTTCATCACATCCCTCCCCTTCCAGGCACGATTATTCCATCTCCACCACACCCTTCCCAGGGCATCTGAAGTTTCTTTTGAGGGCACCATGTAACTCTTTCATCACGGGGGATTTTTTAAATTTAACCCACATAGAAAGGAAACTGGTATCTGGTACGAGACTTTGGATGAAGCTGGAATCCTCTAGGTTTTCAAAGGTCAACCCCCCCCCCCCAAACACCTCAAGGACAAGTCAAAGTACCAACAGGATGTAGGTTTGGTATGTAAAGCCCTTAATCTCCTTCCAAACCCGTTGTATATTCATGGAAGACTTCCTTATAACGAGGTAATATTGGCTGAGCGAAGACATAAAAGGAAAAACATTCGCCAGAAATGGAGATTTTAAGTGATTTGAATCAATTTTAGGTTTTTAAAGATGAACTCTTCAATCCCATAACCAGCTCCAAAGGTGGTTGGTCACCAAGCCAGGTGCAAAAAATAATTCTTCACTTGAGGCAGGGCTGGAGCGATGCCATCTCTTGTGGGCAGGGTGATGATTGTTATTTCTCTGTTCATTGTGATGGTTCTGTAATTCTCTGCTACTCAACATTCATGTTTATAAATATGTAAAGGGCAAATGTCATGAGGATGGAGCCAGGCTCTTCTCAGTGATGCCCAATGGCAGGACAAGGGGCAATGGGTGTGAGCTGGAACACAGGAGGTTCTGCTTCAACTTGAGAAGAAACTTCTTTCCAGTGAGGGTGACAGAGCCCTGGGACAGGCTGCCCAGGGAGGGTGTGGAGTCTCCTTCTCTGGAGACATTCAAGACCCGCCTGGACGCCTTCCTGTGTGATCTCATTGAGGTTCCTGCTCTGGCAGGGGGGTTGGACTGGATGATCTTTCGAGGTCCTTTCCAATCCCCAACATTCTGTGATTCTGTGAAAATACACTCGAGGTTGGAGGGTGTTGGCTCTGGGGCGATGAGATGGGGAACGTGGGCTCTGGGAGCTCATAACTCTGCACAACTCACCGCTGTCACCTGCCAAAAACCAGCCAAGGGGGAAGGAGTTTCCTTATCCCGTCGCTTTGTGAATGATCTGGAGTTCTTCCTCTGGATGAGCGCACAGGAGAAGTCACCGGTGCCGGTGCGGAGCGAGGTGTTGAGGTTTCACCAAATTGTTAAGATTTCCCATCCCATTTTTTTTCCTGCTCCCACGTGGCCGTGCACCAGCCAGCTCTGGTTCTTCGGCGGAGCAGAAACCTGGTGATAAAGCCACCGGCTCTTCCAGCGTCATCGGGGTGATGGCAAAGGGCTCCGGTCTGCGAGGTGTTCACCCGGGGACTGGTGAGGACGTGGAGCTGCCTGGTGGCTCCTCAAGCACCACCTGGAAGGAAGCGGGGTGCTGGATGCCACCGTGGAGAGCTGGGACACCTTGGAGAGCTGGGACATCAGAGAGCTGTGACACTGGAGAGCTGGGACACCACGGAGAGCTGTGACACCAGAGAGCTGGGACACCACGGAGAGCTGGGACACCACGGAGACCTGTAGCACCACAGAGAGCTGTGACACTGCAGAGAGCTGGGACACCATGGAGAGGCTGGGACACCATGGAGAGCTGGGACATCAGAGAGCTGTGACACTGGAGAGCTGGGACACCACGGAGAGCTGTGACACCAGAGAGCTGGGACACCACGGAGAGCTGGGACACCATGAAGAGGCTGTGACACTGTGGAGAGCTGTGACACTGGAGAGGTGGGACACGACAGAGAGGCTGTGACACCGCAGAGAGCTGTGACACCATGGGAGGCTGTGACACCATGGTTTTAAACACACCAGGGCCCTGGACATCCCCTGTCCCTTCCAGGTTTTAACTGCCACCACGATGAAGGTGCCTCTGCTGGAGACTTCTCCCTCCAGCAGCTCCCACTGGGATGGGGACAACCTGAAAGCTGGAGCAAAGCTTTTATCTCTGCACACACTTCACTCTATTTTCTTTAGCACGGAGCCCTAAAGGTTTTCATAAAAACCCCCCAAACTAAGCTCAAGTTTAGCTCCATCTCTTCCCCAGAATCTAACTCCTTCAGGAGGAACCCAACCCAACCCAACGCAACCCACGCTTACCCCGGCAGCACGTCCCACGAAACACTCACTCCATTAATAAAAGTGAAGAGGAAGAAGATCACACGGCGAATGTTCGTTACGGCGCGAGACTGACCTAATTATCTCCTTACAAAACACGTCCCAGTTTTGGGCGGGAGCGAAATTGGTTCCTCTATCTCCGCCGGCAGCTGCCGAGCTCGTGACCAGCTCATTCATTCACCACCCAACGTGAGGAACGCTGGTGAGGAACGTTTTCCTACGTGTGACGGGTTGGAAATGCTGCTCACAGAACCTTCTCCTGTGGAGCTTCAGTAGAAGCAGCCACCGGCTGTAGCCACGTGAAGGAGTCACTCGCTTCAGCTGGGAAGTGGAGAACATCAAGAGAACAACAATGTGGTGGTTCCACCCACAGCTCAGACCATGGGGGCCTGCACTCGCTCCCCCCAACCCAGTGAGATGGGGAGAGAAACACACCAAAGGGGTGGTGGGGTGGGATGAGGACAGGGGGGGCTCACTCACCAGGGATGGGCACGGGCAAAACAGACTCAATTTGGGGAAGAAAAATCCATTCAATTCATTCCCGATCAATCCGAGTAGGACAGTGAGACACACCAACCACATCCGACAGCACCTTCCCCCACCCCTCCACCCTTCGCCCCGCACAGCAGCGCGGGCGACAGGGGATGGGGGTTCAGTCAGGTCACCTCTGCTGCTCTTTCCACACGAGATCCCTCTCGTGGGCTAACGAGTCCAGGAACAAGGTGTTCCACTGCAGCTTCCCATGGAGTCACGGACCTCTTT